AACACACCAGTTCCACGCAAGTTTTTCACGGCGTTTAGAATTTTGTATTTGTTTTTTTAATTTAAAAGCTTAAAAACTATTGTTCTTGGTAGTTTACTATCTCTTGATTTGCCAACCCGATGAGCTTTTTCCACAATCACTTCGCTGTCAATTTTCAGTTGTTTTTTGAAAATACTTTTAACTGTATTTCACAGTCACTCCATGTTTCGTTAGGTTTTTCTTCCACTCCATCTATTCGTAGATTATTTCGACGAGATCTATTTTCTAAATCGATTGTTTTTTGTGTAGGATATTTAAATCATTATCATAACACTTTTTAATTTCTTCAACCTTTTCCATTAGGTTTGTTTCTTGGAAATTTAAAGTTGTTTTAAGATCACTTATATCTTTTTGAATATTCGTCACATTAGATTTGTTATTGTTTACATAAACTTCTAGTTTTTCGATTCTGTCCGTTAATATTTTCAAGTAAGCACTCATAATCGATGCAAAACCTTTTTCTTGTTTTTTTAACAACTTCTCTGTTTCTTTCAGAATAGATTTTTTTTGTTTTTCTAATTTGTTTGCAATTAATTATTCTATGTTTTTAATTGAAATTTCCATATTTGTATAATAATTTAAACACGCTGTAGAAAAAAACACGTCTGTTCGCTTCGATAACTATGTGCAACCAAAAATATATATATATATATGCGTGTGTGTGTATATATATATATATATATATATATATATATATATATATAGGGCCGGCGCGAGTAGGTGTCACGTGGGGGAGGGGGGGTGCCATTACAACTTAAAAAAAAAAAGTCCTCGTTTTTGAAAATTTGCCGACTGCTATGACGACATTTGCCGACTGACTGTCTAAATTTACCGACTAACTTATCAAAAGGGTCTACATTTGTCGACTGACTAGTTAAAAAGGGTCAAATTTGCCGACTACAAATTATTGATGGGGGTGTTACACCCCCACACCCCCTATCGCGCCGGCCTTGTATATATATATATATATATATATATATATATATATATATATATATATATATATATATATATATATATATATATATATATACATATATATATAAAGTGTTCCTAATTTTACATGTCTTAAAAACGAAACGAACTATACTACCACAGCAAACAGTTCAGGAGTCTGGAGTCATAGCATGCCATGTCATGAGCAATCAGATGGCAGTACACAGACAGAATTTCGTTGACAAGTGCCATTTTGCAGCGGACAAAACAAGTGTAACTTTTTGGTTTGTTTCATTTTCTTATGTCTGGTCCGTGTCAACGTCACGGAGGTTTTTTAATAATTAAAGGAAGTATTCTAAAGTTTCCAGAAGTTTCCAGAAGCATGCAGAAGCTTCCAGAAGTTTCCAGAAGAAGCATCTGGAAGCATCCAGAAGCATCCAGAAGTATCCAGAAACATTCAGAAGCATACTACGGGGAAGTTGGCAGCAGATAACAAAGGTGGAAGACCGCGTTCCACCACTTCTAGAGAGGATTCTATGATCGTCAGATCCGTCAAAAAGGATCTCTGGATATCATCAGTCGAGATAAAAAAGCAATTAGAGCTGCTTGTATCGGACCGAACAATCAGACGACGTGCTCTTGAAGCCGGATTGTTTTCTCGACGCCGTGCAAAGAAACCACTGATTTCACTAAAGAACCAGAAAAAAAGACTCCTGTTTGCTACATCTCATATTGACTGGAATGTGCAGAAATGGGGAACTGTCCTGTTTAGTGATGAATCGAAATTCAACATCATTGGGAGCGATGACATTTGCCGTGTACGTCGACCAGCCGGAAAACACCTCAATTTACTGCCAAGAGACCGTGAAGCATGGTGAGACAATGTAATTGTCTGGGGGTGTTTTTCTGCTAACGGTCTAGGTCCAATACATCGAATCGATGGAATAATGGACCGTTTCATGTAAAAAAATATACTGATAGATGTTATGTTACCTCATGCTGAATGGAATATGCCAATATGGTTTTTCAGTAAGTAATAATTTTTCAGCAAGACAACGATCTGAAACACACTGCAAAATTGAATAATAATCATACTAACTTGATAACATTTTTTTTACATTTGCTCTCAGACTACTAATGATACAAATTTTATTTTTTGATTTAGATTCTGTATCTCAATGATATCCTGGCTTTTCGAATCGATATCCTGTAAATCCACTCACACACATAAATGTTAAAAAAAATGTTTATATTTTAATATATATCTATAAATTCTATATTTTATATAATAAATTGTATATTTTTGTATTTACTATTGTATATTACTGCTTGTATAAAAAATCGATTTTTTCAACATACAATTTAGTTTTATTCACTAATTCAATATATGTTATAGCCACGTTTAATTACGTTTTGATAATATTTTGCGATATTTTCTACAGGGCATTTAAGCGTTGATTCAACTTTATATTTCAACCTTTACTCGACGTCTTTGAAGTCACGTTAAATCGACGTTTTACTACCAACGTTACTTATCCTTGCAAAATCGACTGCTTTAACAACGTTAATGCAACGCTTTTTAAGAACGTTTTTTTAACGTTTAGTTGCGACATTTATGTAGCGTCTTTTAATAACGTTTTTTCAATGCTATGCAACAACATTTAATCAACGTATCTTTAGCAACGTTACATATCTTTGCAAAATCGATTACTTTGTCAATGTTTCTGCAACATCTTTTGCGACCGGTTTTCAATGTTGCTTCAATGCAGATATATTTACTGGGGGTCCAATCGCTTCAGAAAACAAAACATTAAAAAAATGACCGACTACAACTAATTTTTATGCAATCCAACGAGAACTATTTTTTTTCTAAATCAACTTGTTTCATTAGGAGAGACAATTTTAGGGGTGGGTTGGGTTTTGTGGGAGGAGGATTTTTAAGTTAAAGCTGGTCTTATGATGCATTTAATTGGGTAGTCAGATAATAGGCACATTTCAGTCGGGTAAATTTATAGTTTTTAGGACTTTTTTTTTTAAGGAACCAGTCGGTACTTTTTAAGAATTCACCGCCCTCTTTTTATTTGTAGAGTTGCCTCTGCTTATCAGTAATAATATGGAAACATCTCCATATGCACTGCTATATTTTTCTGTTTCATAGCTTTGTCCTTCTAATTCAATTTTTTAAGAAAATCCTCAAAAACGTTATTTGGATCAAGACGAATTAGATTTGGCATATTGGTGCAGGAAAGATATTGGTATTGCCTCTCATTATAAAAAAACTTTTTCTCTTAAATTGTTTGTAATCAGTGGCGGCGCCCGCATTTTTTGGTCTTTGAGAAGCTAACTTCCGGACATGGAGCAAACTCCAAACATTTATAAGTTTATACTTATGTAAAATAAGGATGCTTTGCAAAAAATTACGATGGTTGGAGCTTGTGAACAAAAAAAACTCAAAAATTTGGCCGACACTGCCCTAAACGTGAGAGCAACAAGTCGATGAAATATTTTTTTTATTATTTTCAACTAGACTTATATTTATCGATAAATTTTAAGTTTCATAGTATTATCTCTCAGTGTTCAAAAATTATGACCATATAAAATTTGCAATCCTCTCAAATTGAGGGGGGTTTAAACTTTATATGTTTATAATTTTTGAACGCTGAGAGATAATACTATGAAACTTAAAATTTATCGATAAATATAAGTATGTTTTTTCATGTTTTATTAACATACGTTCGTCTAATTAGTTTTTACATAAAAAACATATAATTATATGGTTTTTATGTAAAAACTAAATAATTTTTTAATTACCCATTTTTACAGGACCGAAACATGTCTAAAAAATTATAAAAATTAAGAAATGAAAAAAATTAAATAATTATTTACATTTCATATTTCATTAAATATGAAAATATGCGGTAAAATGTTTTAGACCACTCGTTTTAAAAATTTCATTAAGTATACTCGTTTTAAAAATTTCGTTTAGACCAACACTCGTGTTAAAAATTCATAACTCACTCAAGTTTGAGTTTCATAATAAATTATATGTAAGAAAAAAATCAAAGACTTGCAACTTTCAAATTTTGCACATAATAGTTTTATGGTCTGATAAAGGTACTTGACTTCTGCCCAGAAGTGTGGAGTTATTTGAAAAAAATTGCAAAAACACACCGGTGTGGAGGAAAACTCCACACTTCCCGCGATTGTGTTCATTTATAAACTATTCAAACTAATCATCAGAAGTATTAACTTAATATAAAAAAAATATTTTTCTGTAAACATTAAATAGTTAAAAAAAATTCTAGATGTAACACCTGGCGCACTTGACAGGTATCTGAAATAAACGATTAAATTAATTAAGATACATAGTATTGTTTCATCATGAAAAAAGAAACGTATGCCCTTATGTCTTATAGCGTCGATTTGCAGTATCATCTAAGTCACGAAGCGTATGTGACGAATTTATAACATTTAAAAATACTTTTTTGTGATTATTCAAGAAGTCCTTACGTACGGTTCGTACGGCCTTGTCACAGAGCACCGCGGAAATACATTTTAACAGGAAGTTCACACCTCCTTTTTTATGTCGCAAGTGCGGCCGGAGTTGGCATCGAAGCTCGGTCCAAATACTTTAGTTCAAACTAGTTGATTTTAGTTTTAAAAAATCAAAAGCATGGCGAACTGATTATTATTATTATGATAATGACTCAAATGTTAAAGATGTCTTTAAAAATCAAAACTGGATTCCATGATGCAATACGTAAATTAGTTTTGGAAATCATTTACCTGATTAACTCATGCAAGGAGATTATGACACAAATAAAAATACGAACTAATAAAATTAGTAAAAGCAATCTGTTTCAACGAGATGTAACTATAAACACACTATGTTTTAATTAGTGTTAAAAAAATAGAGGATGCAACATTGTCAGCAAAAAGAAAAAGATAAAAAACTTTAAAATTATTTTGTTCGAATGAGACTTTTTAAAAGATAACAGTATTAACAGTCCACGATCTACAAAACATTTAACATTGTTTATTACTTTTTTTTTACACATAAACCATGTCTAAATTAAACATCATTTGTAAACAACACATTTAAAAATATAAAATCTAATTCCATATATACATTTTGCAAAAATTTAATAAAATAAAAACAAACCCATCAAGTAAAAGAATTATTACGCTTAGTTTTTACCTTTCGGTGCATAAACACCGAATTTTGAGTAATGTGTTAATCTACACAAAGTACATTTTTGTTTCCATATTCGGATGCAGTTTTACAACATCTTTGTAATTTGCTTTCACAAATTCTACAGAGTTTTTGCCAGTGTCGCTTTCAGATGAAGAAATACTAAAAAAAGTAAAAAAGCTTCAGTAAAATAACTAATTGCTTTACCAAAGAAAAGCTTATACAAAAAATTACAGAACGGGTCAACATAGACCACATGTAATACTCTTGCATAAAAACTAACAAAAAATCCACATAAGTAAAAAAAAAACTTAAATAAAACAATACCCACGTTATAAAACACTTTATCTGTTTAAAAATCTTTAAATAAATCTTTTATAAAATAGAAAAAAATAATGGATGAAAAGAAGTAGATTTAATGCCCTCCACAGCTGGATCACAAGAATTGAATCCAATTTAACTTTTTTTCTTGGCTTGGATGGGCAAAGAATATACAGGGGTAGGACCGCAAAATGTGAACGTTTTTGTTTTATTATAACTATTTTCTCGTTAGATGTAGTTGTACTCTCTCACTCATCAGAAAGTGTCTAAAGAGTTGTTAAATATGAACTATTTTAAATAAGAATGTCCAACCATTGGACATTCTTATTTAAAATAGTTCATATTTAACAGAAAATTAATTATTACAATCAGAAAAGTGTTCACATTTTGCGGTCCCACCCCTGTATTACTGCTATATAGGATATAATAAGCCTTAAATACTTCCTTTGTATAAAAGATGTATTTGAAATATTAAAAAAAAGAAAAAACCACAGCTGGATTTTGTTCCTAGCGAAATATTATACAAAAACATATATATAGCATTATCATATTTGGCAATTTAATAATTTTTTAGTTTTGAAAATGATGTACCCTAATTAAAAAAAATATACTTAAAGGCCATAAAAAAAAATAACAGGCATAATATTATTTTATATATTTATTATGATAATAAATCATCCCACACACACACACACACACACACACACACACACACACACACACACACACACACACACACACACACACACACACACACACACACACACACACACACACACACACACACACATACACACACACAAAAACACACACACTTAACTAACAGGATAACTTAGCAGCATGGTTAGATGATGAATAGATGTAACTAGTTATAGTGCTTAACAAAGCTAAAAAAACCTTATTAAAACAGTTTCTATTAATTATTAGTTTAAAAAACGACTTGACATTTTTTTAATTACAAAATTACCAGCTACTAGAATTTATGTTTAAATAATTTTGCATAAGAACTAGATCAAAAATATTTCTAACCTTCCCTCTTCATTTTGCAAATGACTCCGAGATCGAAAAGCTACATGATGAGCATAGTAAGCAGGTGCAGGAATAGATACAGATCTAGTGCATCTAACGTACAAATGACACAGCATAAACGAAAGGGCCTGGAGCTCATCAGCTGAAAAGTTATTATCATCCCACAACACATGATAGTGTGCAGGGCGTGATGTCCCCTTAAAAAAAATTAACAAGTAGATTAGATTAAATAAAAAAAATAATAATAGTATTAAAAGAATTTGTATTCATTGATGTTCATATATTAAAATAAACAAGTATTTATTTTTATTAAATGTTTAATTCATACAAAAAACAAGTTTTTGTATGAGTTAAACATTAAAACGAAAATAAAAAAATAAAAAAAGCTTCAAATCTTTACACCAATATTTGTTTATATCACCTGAATTCCCGAATGACTGTATTGGTAGTAATCAAACTCTGTCGGATGACATACAACTGTATCAATTGTAGTTCCAGCTGAAACATTTCCACTACGATCCTTTAAGATAAAATTAAAAAAGAAATAGAAAATCTTATCAGCAATTACATAATAAGCGACTAAATCATTTCTGTTATTTTCTAAACATATAAGTTAATTATTTATATTATTATTTTTATATGCATTTAAACATATAGGTCAATCATTGTCAAAATTACATTTCTTTTACTTCAAATGTTATATGGTCATGTCTATATAATAATTAAAGGCTATTTCCAACAAAAATTATATATAAAATTTACTTCATCATTTTTGTTGACTGGAAAAAATTTTGCTTTGTGCCTTTTCTGGACGACAACAAAAGTAATACCAGGTTCATAACCTTTTTCTAATTTTATGCAAGCCTTTTGGATGGCAGACATCTCATGAAATAGTACCTTAAAATGAAAAGCAAAAATTTTTAACACAACTGTTATCCAATAAAAAAAATCAGAAAAATTTGATGTAAAAAACTGTTTGACATTAATATATATATATAGCTTTAATATTAAAACCTGCTGAAATTGTCCTTCAGAAACACCATCACGAAACATAATTATCTTTCTTGGTTTCACTTTCATATGTCTGTAAAACTGTTTAAGAAGTTCAACTGTAACATTTTCAAGATCTTCTATAACTTCCTTTAAAATAAAAACGTAAACATTGTTAGATATTTAACAACTTTATAAAAAAGCATAAAACACATAAAAACTTTTTAAAAATTTCACCAAGTTGAAGGTATACTAAAATTATAGAAATGAAATAGCATATACTTTACTTGACAATGCTAAATTAAGCTCATTAAGATCTTCTTGTTTCATTCATGTATTAACACTACTCATCAACTCCCTTAATTTTTTTTGCCTTGCAAACTTTAGATTAAGCAAAAATACTTATTTTTTTAAACACTAATCCGCTTAAAAATTAGGTGAGAAAGATATACATTATTTAAAAGGTGGGCAAAGAAAAAGTTGCGCAAAATGAGGTGGAAAAAATCAATTTTGCAAAACCTATTTGTTATCATAAGTTATCAATAACTATAATACATGACACTTTTTTAGAAGACAAAGCATAGACTCTTCCTCAATGATGATAAACCTTGACTTCTAATTGCTGATGTGTTTGAATGTCGATGGACTGATTCTGTTATCAAAGCTGAGTCTTTAGCTAACAGAGAAAAGTGTATTGTTCTGAATGATATGACCTATAGCATTTAACCCCTTGATTATTTGATCAGAAACATTCATTTTAAAGAAAAAAGCAAAGGCAAAATTTTAGTCGAATTAAAAAATCAAATCAAACATTTATAAATAATATAATTATAATTCTGAAAAAAATAGTAAAACCATTGTTTTACTATTTTAATCAATATCTTGTGAGTCAAGCATGACTAGTTCAATAACCAAAATCTCCCCTCTTTTAAAAGTAAGCTATTTTTCTCCACCTCTTTTTCTACCTCTACATTAAATTATAAGGGTGCTAAAGTAAATTAAAACTAATAATACAAAAAAAAAACACAACAACATCAACTAAAAACTCACAACTCGATGCCCTTGGATACGAACACAAGCAGAATAACGACTTGGAACTTCATCAATGCTGCCAACAATCTAAAATTCATATAAAAAATAAACAATATAACCAATATAAAGTATAAAAATAGTGTGTATGTATAGGTGTGACAAAATGCCTTTAATAGCACCCTTTTTTTGACACAAAGCTTTTTAAACTTTGTATTTACTTTATTAAAGGACTTATATTATTATTATTTTTATCAAAATACTGTTGTTATGCTTTAACAGCCAATCATTCTGTTCTTAGCAAAATTGGAGGTAATCGGGAATATTTTTTTTTTAGGAAAGATGTGATTTTAATGCAGCATGGTATAGCCAAATATTAAAGTCTTTGACTTTGATATTCAACCATAGGGCGTCCTTAAACTGCAGATATTAACATTCAACTAAAAGTTTGTGAGCTTGAAATCTGTATGCCTCTCACTGCCAATCAGTCAAAAAAATAAATATATGATGATAATATTATATTGCTTTATTTTACTAGTCTAAACCATAATACAAATTATTATTCAATCTGTTTTTAGGTGCAGAACAGCAAACAATTAGTAAGTAATTACATTTTATTATTTGTTTACTGTTTACTATTATTTATTATGTTTTTTATTATTAATGTTTATCAAGATTTATTAAAACTCTTTTAATAAACTCTTTTGCAAGATCAATCTCTGTTAATAACTAAGAAAAGAATTCAATTATTTTTAAATTACAGACATACAGGGGTGGGACCGCAAAATGTGAACGTTTTTGTTTTATTATAACTATTTTCTCGTTAGATGTAGTTGTACTCTCTCACTCATCAGAAAGTGTCTAAAGAGTTGTTAAATATGAACTATTTTAAATAAGAATGTCCAACCATTGGACATTCTTATTTAAAATAGTTCATATTTAACAGAAAATTAATTATTACAATCAGAAAAGTGTTCACATTTTGCGGTCCCACCCCTGTATATTACTGATAATTGATAAAGAATATCTTACTTCCAGGTTTAGGATCAAATACATTTGTATAATAATACACTTAGTCATAATTTTATGGAAAAATTTGAAAAAAAAATGTTCATTCTCAAAAACATTTCTACTTAAAGAAACATTTTTTAAAAAAAGACTTTAATAGTTACTAATTTTTTTTAATTGTATTTTTTTATTTTTTATTTAATATGAAGTAATTAAAGGATTATTACTGAAACTATTTGACAAACGATTAAATTGAAAGAAAATACTTATAAATCGATATACTAAATAGAAGAATGAAAATAAGTCAACAAATGAAAACAAGTTTCAACAAATATCACTTAAAATAAATTTTACAAATATTTCAATGTTAAAAATGAAAAAGATATTTTGTTATAAGAAAAAAAAACAAAAAACAATCATATGCTTTCCAGAAAAAAAAACAACCCAACCTATTTTAAGGAACTAAAAATACATTACAGATGCAAATACAAATATGCAATTGACTCCATCACTGTTTTCTTCTGTAGAAAATTTAAAGAAAACAAATTTGTAAGTTATAATTATTTTTTATTTAGACAAAAATTTTATTTTTTCAACTCATCTTAAAATACATTCACACACACACACACACACACACACACACACACACACACACACACACACACACACACACACACACACACACACACACACACACACACACACACAGATATATATATATATATATATATATATATATATATATATATATATATATATATATATATATATATATATATATATATATATATATATATATATCATGTTTCGAAGTTATAGAGTTGAGAGAGGGTTATAACCACAATTGAGTAGTGAAAAGTGAAATAACAGATTTGTTCTTATTATTGATACTGTTAAAGATTCTCTAGAAGTCACAATTTTTGTGATGAAATATGAGATTTTATGACCTGAGAATAAAAAGCTTTGGCGTTAGACAAAACCTTTTTAAAATGGTTTCTAGCAGTAGTAAACAGACATCTGTTTTCTGGAGAATTGTTTTGCTGATAGATATGGAAGTAACGGAGAGCATGATCAACCTTTTTTCTGACCAAGTAATCACAAATATGCTCAATTATATTCAAATCTGGACTCTGGGGAGGCCAGGTCACTAATTCCAGTACTCCTTCCTTTGCCATTTTATTTAAATAATTTTTTGCCACTCTGGAACAATGTTTTGGATCATTTTTCTGCTGCAGAATAAAATTATGACCTATTAGTCTCATTCCAGATTATACAGCATGGTGCCTAAGGATATCCACATAACGTTTCCCAGTGAGTCGCCCCTCTATTTTTATTAAACCACCTACTCCAGATGAAGATGAACAGCCCTAAACTTGTAAAAAGCCTCTTCCGTGTTTAATAGTAGGGTTTAAACACTTATGAGGATAGAATCCAATTCTTATTTGAATATATTGGCGTCTTTTCGTTCCAAAAATTTCGAATTTGGACTCATGGGTGTACAGAACCCGAATAAACATTTCCTGGGTAATCTTTGTGTTGTTTTGCATATTTAAACTGTTTTTCTTTCTTGCCACTTTATTATAATGGTTTTTGAATTGCAACACACCCTCTTAATCCCAATTTGAGTAGGTGTTGTCGAATAGAAGAAGGGCTGATATTTTCCCCAGTTGCTATATTAATGTCATTTGCCAACTATGACTGAACCTTATACTGTCAAAAACTTAAATGAAGGAGTATGAACCCGAATCAGTTTAAACAAGTTTATTTTTATTTCTTATTCAGATGAACGCTTGATCTGTACTTATTATGACATATCATTTTAAAAAATAAACAAACTAATCCCTCATGTTCCCTCATCAATTTGGTTTATTTATTCAAAATAATATATTCTTTCAACTTTTCTTATATATTATTAAACTTAAACACGCTTTAAAAAAATTACATAGGAAAAAAAATTTAAATGCGTCTAATTATACAAATGGTCTAAAACATATTCACAGTACTGTATGTATGTATGTATGTATGTATGTATGTATGTATGTATGTATGTATGTATGTATGTATGTATGTATGTATGTATATATATATATATATATATATATTTATATATAAACTGTATAATAAAATGTATACCAAACAAGCAATGTTACAAAAAACTTACAGCAGCAATGGAAGGGCTTGATTTATCACCTAGACCTGGGTGTGTAACATCTGCACCAAGAAAAATTACCGGTTCTTTAAACACATTCAATGGCCTGAAAATGAAAAGTAATTAAAAAATTTAGAAAGAAAATGATAAAAAAGAGTAGGATAAAAAACAACTACATTTACTAATATAATAATCAGAAAAATATAATATGAGCCAAAATTTGACAATAATTAAGGCTATTTATGTGAAAACTGAAACAAAAAGAAGAAAATTTTCAATATGCTAAATATGAGCTTATTTAGCGTATTAAACACTTAACCACAATTCCCTTTAACCACTTTTAAGTTATATAATTTGACACAAGGACCTTTACATTATTTTTTACAATGTGCAGATTTAAATTTGGTATATGTCATCAAAACTACAAAAGTTACGATTTTTAGAGTATGTCAATCAACATGTTTCATCAATCAATCTATGACCCATTTTTAATAACAAATGTTATAAACCTTTAATACATATTTGAAATACAAATAAATTAGTATAATATAATACTAATTATATAATAAATACAAATTAATATAACAACAACTTTAGTTGAAATTATGTAAAGTTAAAATATAAAATTAAAAAATCAAAATTATACAAAACTGTACAAAATATTGTTTGCATCCTTTAGAAAAATGATTATTTTAAATATTTATAATATTTATCAAAAGATGCTATTTTTGATAGTTTAAGGCCAGTGCAGTGCTCAAGTACATCTGAAGCACTAGAGAAGCTAAAGCAAGATGATGAGACCAAAACATCAAAGCAGTTGAAAAAGTGCTAAGCAAAGATATCATTATACAACATAAACACACCAAGAGGTTTAAAAAGTGTTGCAAAGCTAATGAAAATGCATATGCTAACTAAAAACAAAAAATGGTAAATTTTCAGGTGGAAGCAATTTTTTCTAGCTCAGTCTATCAACATATCATATTTTTATAAAACACAAGCCTTGACAAAGAAGGCACTATGCAGAGAAGCAAGTTAAGAAAAAAGTTACATGAAAATATAAAGCAGAAACTCCCATGTTTAAAATATCAATATCTATTACAACTTGCTTTCTGGAAATTTAAAGTTCAAATTTGTCTTCGGCATTAATTTAATTATAATATAATGTAATATATAACTATAAGTAAATATTAGTAATACTTTATTATTTATATTAGTGTGTACAAGAATACCTTTACTACTGATACTAATATTGACTAAATATAAACACGGATCAGTACGAGAAAAAATTAATCAGGCTACAAAAATTACCTTCAAAATGTAAAAGACTTGACTGAATACACTGTTACTGAGTTAAACTACATTATCAGGAATATTATTATTAGAAAAAGCATTTTGATTTAAATCTAAAAAGTTTTACATAAACAGCTTATTTTAAACTTGATTCAAACCAGTTTAAGAATCATTTTAAAATTTTCTCAAAACCAAATATAATCAGTAAAACATTATTTATGAATTATTTTTGCTTTATTAAAAAATGAAACTACCTCATATGTATTTCTGACAAAATATTAAAATGTTTACTTACCTTATTTAACTGAAAAAGTTTGATATAGGGTAAATAGCAGAATGTTAATATTAGCTATTAGTTGTTGGTATAACAAAAAGAAATCAAAATTACATAATGAGCTTAATTAAAATAAGATATGCCAGGTGAGTTTTTACATTATTTGAACATAAAATTGTCATGAGATGTGTATATATATATATATATAAATATATAAATATATGTATATATATATATATATATATATATATATATATATATATATATACATATAAATATATATATATATATATATATATATATATATATATATTATATATATATATATATATATATATATATATATATATATATATATATATATATATATATATATAATATATATATAGCCTCAATAGTAGCTTCAAGAATATACACAGAATCTCTCATACTTAATTGACACCTGTCTAGTGCTGTTACTAATTTTGGAGTGATGAAGTTTTTCAGCATAGATATTTTACTTGTTTCGGGTTGTGCGCTCTTGATCTGAGTTGGCAAATCTTCTTCCAAATGTAAGTCTTCTTTTTTATAATTTTCTTGTGTAATTTTGGTTGATAAAACTTAATCAATAGTTATTTTCAAAAAAAATTCATATTTGACCCCTCCCCCCCCTCCTTTATAACTCCTTTATTGTGTTTTTGCTCTAAAACAATCCTTATTATACTCCTTTTATATATTTATTATTTATATCCAATATAATTAATTGTTATTATAATTTCAAATAGTTTTGTAATAAATAAAAATGAAAATTTATTAAAAATAAATTTTCACCTGGTTTATGACCCCCCCCCCCCCCAATCCTTTCTAATAATACCTTTGTCTTATGTCTTTTTTCTGCCTAAATAAGGAACTTAATAAATTACAATTTTTAATAAAAACAAAAAACTTGATAAATACTCAATTATTAAACAAAGAAACAAAGAAATGATTGGTATAAGTTAACAATATTAAAGCACAATGGGAATAAGTACTAAGAAATTAAAAATCTCATACTTTTTTAAATTATAACAACAAAATAACAATATTTTTAATATATAATAAAAGAGATTGCTTAAAGCATATTTTCAAAAATTAAGTTTTTGAATTGCTTGTTTATTTATGTGAAGAAGAACATTTCAGTGGTGTTCTACTGCGCATAAAAGAAATTCTTTATGCTCATCATCTTTTGCAATAGATGTTGCATAGTCTTGAATTAGTTTAACAGCCTGTTCTGCTGTATCATTTACAGATTTCGGTGATTTGATATGCTCAAACATGTGATTAAAATTTGTGTTAGCTTTCCAAAACTTTAGGGATTTTACCAACCAACCGCCGTCCTCATTTGAATATCCAAATAATTTTAGAATGTTACTTGATTTTGGTCCTATCATATCAGTCCTCTGCTTCAGAAGAGGAAATTGTGGAAAGCCTATATCCTGTTCACAATTTTCTTTTATATCTTTATATTTTTCAGAATTGTTTTAGCAATTTTAGTTTTATCTCAATCAGATACCTTATCAGAAAATAATGAAAGAGGGGACATTTCTTTGGTTAAATACCAAAGATGCCGATTAAATGTTTCCAGGGCAACAAGAGCAACATCATTGTCAATTTTTTTATAAATAAGCATTTCTTTATAGAATTCCAAGTCATTAAATGGGACATCGATTGTGCTTGTGCACTTAAGCCATATTTTCACATAAAATAGTAAAGTAAATTTACAAAACCATGACAATTTCTCTATAAAACTTTCTTCATACTCTGCCAGGCCAGCAAAAGCAAACATCTTTGATGTGTACAAGATTGTACACATCCATCTAGCATGATGGAAGGCTCCAGGTTTGTGCCACTGTATATTTATTTGTTTTGGATTGAGTAATTGCAAAGCAAGTTGACAACATTCTCGATAATCATCTCTTAACATTTTTCGAGATTTCCGTTTAAGTAAACCAGACAAAAAATTTATTACTTCTGCTTGTTTGGTCTTTAATACCAATCAAAATCTTCGATTTTTATTTTTCTAAAAGTAGTATCTGAAGTTAATGAAAGCCTAGGCCATACCTCATTTTTAAAGTGTCTAAATGGCTCATAATTTGGAAATCTACATTCTCCAAAAACTTATAAGTAAACAGAAGACAAAACTCTTTTAAAAATATGGTTTCGGCAGGTGCACCAAAGTAACTTTTTGTTAAAGTGGTCTTTAATTAACTTTGCAGAACCATTTATCCAACTGAATTTACAGCATCTATGGTAGCTGTTGCCTGACTTCGCCCAGTTGTATCAGGAATCCTGGATACACACAACAATTTCCCTTCTGGTGCACTTGGTTTTCCTGTTACAAAAATAGCCAAACGTTCCACTTTACTATCAACCTCAGATACTAGCTTTGAATCCCAGTGAATGGAATAGTACATGGGTGAAATGAATATTTTCTTAAAATCATCTGAAACTTGCTGTCGAATTTTATTACCTTATCTATGCACTGTGCTTTTTGAAATAGATATTTCATCTAAATTGTGACCTAATGCTTCAGCTTCAGCTAAAATGATTCCAGATCTTTCTCTGTTGAATAGATTTAACCTATCAGCCATTAAGGAAACTTTAGGATTTTCTAATACCTTGATTTTTTTGTCTGTCTAGCAATAGTACTTTCTTCATTTTTATTATAAGTTTTGTCTTCATAATCAAATGATGCCAGTACTTTGAAGCTTTTTTCTTCTATGTTTTCCTTTCTAGATTTCTCTTTTTCAATTGATTTTATGTTTCTCTTTTTCCTCCTTTCTTTTCACTTTCATAGCATAACTCTTGTCTAATGGGCCCAAAAATTGCTTTTTTAAGTGACGCTGATCTGAGAGAAAGTCTATATCTGAGATCTGACTATTGATACTACGCGAGGTATCTTTTCTTATCAAACTTTCTGCATTTGATGCTGCAATATCAAACAACAATGATAGTTTATTAGTAAAACTCAGAAGTTGAGTTGCATAAATTTTTTTTTTTTTGCATTTTTAATCAGGTTCTTTGTAAGATGAATCAGATGTAGTATCATTCTGACAATATCTTTCTTCTGTTTTTTTGAAATTCCTGCCATTTTTCAAAAAACAATCATTTTTTCCCAAACTACAGATGCAACTTCTTTTTTACCAGTTAATTTCAATTCAAATCTTTCAAGATAAACATCTCCATTTGTTGGTAGTTGACTATACATCTTCAAGGGTAGGTAATAATTTACCAACAATATTATCAAACTTCTCACCATTTTTCCTCAATTTGCTATTGCTCATAACTGATCAAATATTTTTTATCTATGCTATAAATTATAAAATTATTTAAATAATGTATGAATAACATTGAAATTCATCATAATATATATATATATATATATATATATATATATATATATATATATATATATATATATATATATATATATATATATATATATATATATGGGCATTTCCATTTCTGTGCGTGATTTTTTGTTTTAGCAATTAAAAGCTGGGACTATAAGCAATATGCATACT